CCGCTCCGCGGCATGTGAGAACTTCCTGGACCAGGGCACGAACCTGCGTCCCCTGCATCGGCAGGCGGACTCCCAACCACTGAGCCATCAGGGAAGCCCTGGACATTTTAAATAATAATAGGATAACTGTGGAATTAGATTTACTAACCCCTTTGCCAAGGTTTTGATGTAGCTGCTGGTTTTTGTTTATCTAGCAAGTCATATGAACTAATTCTTTAAAGTCTATTAGATAGACACTGAAGTCTTGCTCAGATAGTTTCTTAGTGAACTAATGATTGGACAGATATTTCCTTAAACACCTGAAACCAGTTAACTCTCACAGTCTTTGCTGACAGCTTTGTGTGCATGTTGGGACACACTTCAACACTCAGCCAGGAAGTTGACAGCTCTGCCTTCACCTTCAATTTCTGCTTGGGCAGATCATCAAGATCAACCTAAGGTGGCAGTTTAGGATGTGCCCAGGTCTTTCCTGAACAGGAGTAACAATCCTTGGCTTGAGCAACGTTTTTGGCATGTGCATGCACATGACCATCTAAATTCCCAGGAATGGCAGAGTGTTTCCAAAGCCTCTATGAATATCTCATTCCTCAGCTTTTCCTTTTTTAAGTTTATGGTTAGCCTGTTGTTTGCTCCAATGTTTATTCACTACTTCAGGCAGCCACAACTGCTTCTGATTTTTTTTTTCAATAAATTTTTTTTTCCCCCTGTGGAAAAGGCTTTTCATACCAGGCAAGCTCTGATCAGAAAAATACAGACAGCCTTGCAAGTGAGGACTTCCAGGGAACCACCAGACAGTTCTCTGGGAATGAGGCTTTGAAGGAGCTCCAACCCCACTCTGCCCCTTCCAGTGGCTTCTACACTGCTGCTTGTACATTATGGACTGTTGGTTTTCAAGGATAAGCAGAGCTGGAAATGGGCAGGGGGAATGGAAATAGGACGAGTTAAAATGACACACAGCTTACTGTTCTTACTGAGATTCAGCTACTTCTCTTGCATAAATATTCCTTGGATTGCTATGAGGTTAACTTCCAGAGTGCTGAAAAAAGTTGATTCTGACAATGTTTGCAAATTTTCTCCTTGTCTTTATGGAGAGGAGAGTTTTCAGAGGTCCTCACTCCCCCATTCTGGCTGGCTTTAAGTATTTAATGTCCTTTTATTTTTCTTAGCAAAATGAATCTGGTTAAAACAATAAAGCCACCACCATTGACATTTCTAGGCATTCGCATGGTTCAAGCTCAACAGCAGTATCTGTGAGAACAACTAAATGGGATATAGTATGAATTATAGAAAATGTCCACACTACAAATGAATGGTGCCAAAATGTTTCAGTAGGCAGACTCAGAGTATTAGAAAATTTTTTCATTATATAAAAAAGAAAGAAGGAAAGAAGGGAGGGAGACAGGAAGGGAGGGAGGGAGGGAAGGAGGAAGGAAAGAAAGAATGATCTTGGATTACTATAGTCTTAAAATTGCTATGAGAAGCAAAACCTGACAGGTAACAAGCATAATCCACACTCTGCTGTAAGATGAATTGGGGGAGGGGGGTGCAGAAACCTGGCCAACCCTTGCAAGTCTCTTAATTACATATAGAAATGACCTCCAAATGCTCCACCTTCTGTCCAGCCACCACACTGGACTGCCAGTACTTTTCTGTCTCTGATGTACAAGGGACCATATAGTCATGCTTCAAAGAGAATATCCTAGGCTGTAAAGCAATCTCTTTTCCTGACCAAGGATAGCACTCACTCAGCTATCACTTTCAGATCTATTGGCTAATAGCACAGGGAGGTACTTCCTGGGTAGGGATGGTGAGATTTGAATGATTTTTAGATAGACATGTAGTTATTTTCAAGAATGCGGACTTATAAAAATCCCATCAGTTTAAGAGAAGGCAAGATATTTACTTAATTCCTGGGGAAATGTAGAAGAGCCTCATTAGGAGTAAACAATAGTTGGTGGAAACCACAAAAATAATAAAATCATAATAAAATGTCCAGGGTTATGTAAGGATACATTTTAAAACAAGATTCCTTATTTTTAAATAATATTACAAGTCTATGAAATGAATTTACATCTCAATATTTAATTACACCAGGTTGCATTAGTTAGGAATCCATGTTCATAAATCATTTGAATAAAAATGTTTTGATTTCTCCTGAAGCAATGTATCGTGTTTAAGATGAACATGTTTGATTTTTCAGTTCAGGGAACAGAAACCTAATTTTACTATTAATGATTTCTAAAATTGGCTTTGAAAGAGATTACAAAATAGGTATATATTTTAGGGAAAACTGTGCAAACCTCGTAAGCTGACTGGTATTGAAGGCTTTTTTCTTAGACTGTAAACATTTTAATTCTTAATGCTTAATGTGGAAGAAAAATGAGAGGTACCTTAAACTAGGCAGACAAGCCAGTGTGAAAGGTTTTAGTGAGTGTTGAGTACGTTGACTAAAAAGATGCTTAATGCAGACCTTGCTTTTCCAGAAAGGAGGGCCAGGTAACAAAGCAGTTCATCATTCTTTTCTATTAAGCAAAATGTATCCTCCACTAGCCAGGACTCTTTTGTATTGATCATTTAAAAAAATGTTAAAGTGTGCTCAAAATATATATTTTATTCATTGAAGATGCAACATTTCATTCATCTACACAATGTTATGTAATTGAAGATTTTGGTATGATAACAATTGGGTATTTTGAAGAACACTGATAGGGCAATCCACTTTAAATGGACCCCCCCTTGTACTATATATCATAAGAATGCCTATGCCTAACAGGGTATCCTGTATTTTAAAATTTACCATTAACCACATATCAGATTACTGATGTAAAGTTACCTGAACAGACTGTATTTTCCAAATAACTCACTTTTTTGGCCATTGTTATAATTGCATGAATTATTTCTCTACCTAGTATAACCATTGCTCAAGAAAACATATATATCGTAACTTTAGAATTTTCTGCAAAGCTCTGGACACAATTAAATATTTAGACTGTAGGCAAATCTTCTCCAATCTACAACACTTCTTTATAATATCAAAAGACATCAGTGAATCCAGTACAAAATTTTTATAATGAACAGCACCAAAGAAGCCAAATTATAAGTTCCATTTCTCATCAATTAAGCTGGGTGCTGCATCAAGGATTAAGGCTGAGAACACCCAAAGGTTGTCTGCCTAGCCTACTGCTGGTGTTCAACACACATTGCTTGTACAGAGGCTGTCTGGATTGTAAGTGTCTTTGTAAAATTTCAAACAAGTCAAAAGTATTACATACCCTTATCTCAACAGAATCCTGAATATCAGGTTAGCAAATTTCATAGTTCCATTTTAAGACATATGATTGTAGAGGGTAAAGCAGAAAGATGTTGAAACATATTACTGTCACTTAAATGATAGGTAGCAGCCACATAGGCCTGAACCACATTTGTGAAATTTCATGCCACATTTTTCACCTCCCAATTTATATACATGGAGGGGTTACACTAAAACTTCAATTATTCCAAAGGATGAAAGAAGTGTTACATTTTGATATAGATCTTCAGTTTCTATTATACCATAAGCCTTTGAAATATTAAGGCTGAAGAGGCCAAGTTATGAAAGGGACAAGAGGAAGTAAGAACAGTGGAAATACAGTTGATAATGTTCTGCCTTCACCATTCTATGTGGATAGTCTGCTTTCCAGGCAGCAGGTGGTGTGACTGTGAAAAGATCACACATTTGTCAGTAACTATGTAGGATTTTTAGCACTGTTAGAGCCTAGCATTACAGATTTAGGGCAGCTAATAAAATTCCATAAACCAAATTTTTGACAAGTCTGAAATTTTTTGAAAATAATTTTCCTACCAAGTAAAACTTCTTGGTTCCCTTTTAGTCCTGTCTCAGAGAAAACTATGTATAATTAAACTTTTTTAAAAAAGTAAAAAAAAGAATCACTTCACAGCAACCAGATGAACATCTGGCAGCAAAGCAATATTAAAATGCCATCCTTTCAAAGGAAGAGCAAGTATGTGAGTCCTCCATTAAGAGCATTATCTTATGTCAGAGCATAATCTCACACTTTCCATTTATGGCCTTTTTGCAAAAGTCCAAGGCTGAATTTGGACCTGCTTTTCCTGTGTTTTCTCAATGTTATCTGGACAACAGTGTGTCAAGTACATAAGAAACCTAAGGTCAAAATGAAGATGATCTAATGCACCAGGTATTTAAATAAATGTGCACAGGCTGTACTTAGAATCACCTTGCTAAAAACTAGTAGCAGAAGTAGATGAAGCCTGTTTGTCATATGTAACAAAAATATTTCAAAGTCAATATAAATTTAACCATAACCCATCTAACAAAAAACACCAGAGATCACATTTTAATGTGTTTTTTCTCTCCCTTTCTCAGTAGCCAGAAAATGTTTAAATCTAGAAAGAAAAGGATCAGATCTTTTAAAGCCTCATATGTCCCTCTTCTCATATAAAAAAATCTTATCAGGAAATAAAAAAATTCAAAAATTATTTTTCTGTAGTTTTTCAAAATAAGTGTATATTTCATTTATAATCTACGGTTTCATTTTTAAAAACCCCTCACAAAAGTCTCTTAATATGTTGCAAAACTTTATAAACAAGGTTGTAACTTTCCAGAGGGTGTGTGCCAGGACCCTCATGAAGCCCCTACTGGAGTCTAACTTGGAAGCCAACTCAGGCACCCGCCCCCCCCCCCCCCCCCCCACACACTGCTATTCAATACTATTGAGGTCACAGGGTTTACTGAAATTTGTTAAAAACATGGAGAATAACCTCTGGGGAATAATTCTCTGGGGAAAGAGAGAGAGATGAGAAGATTACAGATACCACTGAAAGTATGTGTGTTCAAAAGTTAATTTGGTTATATTATCAAATTACAGTTCTTCAGGGAGCTTAAACTTGCTGTAAATTAGATTTGGGGAGGCACATCAAACTAAATAGTCTGCATAAGAGACTCGCTGACATAAAAGAAAAACACGGAAGACAAAGGGTTCTTAATTTGGTGAAGGATATATTCCAACTTGGGGGAAGGGTGAAGGCATTTCAGCTCTGAAGCTCGATCATGACATTTCCAGAGCCCTGCAGTCCCCAAGCGTGACAGGACAGATCGGAAGGGCCTGTTGGGCCTGGCTGGACTCTCCTGTCCCTCTGTCACACTGTGCGATATGCAGGCAACTGCAGTGTCAAGCTGGCAACACTCCTGAGGCTCTTGAGTGTTTATCAACTCAGTAGGTCAAAAGTCTGCAGACACTGGGTGGAGCAGCAGTAAGCCACAAAACTCACAGTTGTCCTCCTGGAAGGGGAAAGAGGGGGAGAAGGACACTGTTGAGTTCAAAAGGAAAGTCTCAGAATTTTTTCCATTAGAGACAGTCTTTTCCTTTGTTAAAATAAAGGATTAGGATGGTCAACAGAGTACACAACAGAAATATAAATTCCTTTTAAAACTGAGCACTGGAATCAGGTGAGGTATGTGTGTGCTTATTTTATTAGCAGTTTTCAGATGACGCAACATCTCTATGTTAGCAACAAAGGCAAAGTAAGCTTTTTCCATGTTACAGTCTGAATTTGGCTTACAAGAACCAGTGCAATGACAGAATTTGAAATACGTTATAAAAGTCATGTAACAGAAAAAGTCACCAATTTAGCTAGAACACATATATATCGAAGAGCTTAAAAAACATAATTTTAAGGAATTTATCCTACAAATGTATGCCCACAGATTGCTTATAGAGGTAATTTCAGAATATGAATCATGTAGTTTGAGGGTCTTCTCCCACACAACAGAGGAATCCCAGCTCAGACTCCTGCTTGGCATCTTTCTGCAGTGAGTCATGAGCCCTCTGATCCCAATCTGGGCAGCTCCAGTTGTTGGATGCCTTGTTTTCCCACCAGAAGTGCTATCCTCTGCTGAGGAGAGATTAATCTACTGTTGTTTCCACAGGACCCCCTGTGCTGACTGTTTTCTCTTTTCTCCACCCCTCAACTCAGTCTTTGCCTTTCTCTGTAATCCAAGAAGGTGACCTCTACAGACCCAACCTCCAAAGCTGCCTGATTGCTGGTTATAGGCTGAATTAGGACAAGGGAGGTATAGCAGGAGGGTAAAGGGCAGGAAGAGAGAAAAGTTGAATATTTTCTTTTTCTTCTTTTTTTTATAAAAAGTCTAGTTAATAGAGGTATAGTTACATACAAACATACAATAAAATTCACCCATTTTAAGTGTACAGTTGAATGAGTTTTGAAATATATGCAATTATTTAACTAACACCACCATCAAGATATGAAATACTTCTCATATCCCCAAATGTTCCTTGTGTCCACTTGCAGCCAACCCCCATCCCCTAAACCCCCTGACAAGTCTCTGGCAACCATTGATAATTTTGTTTCTCCATGGGCTTTATTTTTCCCTGGGCCACCACGATCCTCCGAAAAAGGCTTTGCCATTATTTCATCTTGGATGATCAAAGATCTCAAGGCAAGAGCTAGACCTACTTCTATGGGTTCTCTTGCCTTAGATTTTTGTACTAATCCAGGATTTCCTTACAAACTGGTTCCAGCTAGCTCCCCTGGATGGACCCTCCTGTATGGCTCTAGTTCTCTCTAGGCTCCAGTCACACTCAACTGGGCAGTTGACAACTCTGCCTTAGCCTTCACTTCCTGCTTGCACAGAGTCTCACTTCCTGCAAGCAGAGGTGAGAGCTCAGGGCCTTCTTGGGTCTTTTCTGAGCATGCTCACATCCTTTTGCATGCACATGACCTTACATACTCCTAGGAATATGTTAGTGCTTTTCAAAGCCCCCTTGGAAACCTTAGTCTATTGTTTGCCCCAACAGTTACCCACTGCCTCAGGCATCTGTGAAGTTAAGCAATTGCCTATAATTGTTTTGACAATTTTTGACAAATACCCTCAGAGAAGAGGCTTTTTGTGCTGGTGATCTCTGACTGAGGAAATAAAGACAGGCTTGCAAGTAGGGTTTTTCAGTGAAACACCCTTTGAAGATGCTCCAACTTCCTTCCACCCCTTTCCAGTTGCTGCCCGGCTGCTGGTTTTAACTGTGATGGCAGATTCTTGGTTTTCAAGGTTAAGACTAGAAGATGGGACTACATGTTAAAATATCACAAAGGTCTCTGTTCTTTCTGAGATTCAGTCACTTTTCTTGAATAAATGCACTCTGGATTGCTGTAAGCCTTTTGTTAATTTCCAGAGTTCTGAAAAATTCAATTCTGACAAGTTTTGCCAGTTTTTTCATTGCTTTTATGGAAATGTTGACTATTTCTATCCCACTCCATCTCTACATCTCTGACCAGAGCTTTTATTGGGCAGCCCCTCCTGTTGGCTCTAAGTCTCAACAGCCTCCAGATCTTCCTTTGTCCTTCATGCTAAAAGATTAAGAATAGTAAACCTTCCTACTGCTGTAAGTTCCCAGGTATTTTATCATCCTTGTGGGTGCTCTGAACCCTGCCTGAACTTCTGTAAATAGTCCTTCTCCATTAATTTCTCTTCAAAATCCCAGCTTCTGTGTGTTTTCCGGCTAGTACCCTGATTGATTTAGTAGGGAGTAGTCTAAGGAAACAGTCCATCAAAGTGGGATTCTGGGATTGGGTTGGTAAGTGCATGAATGACCTAATTACCAGGGAAAAGTGGGACATCACTGATTACTCGAAGTTGTGGTATCACGATTACTCAAATTATCACTAAGACTGCCAGTGGAGGGTAAGGCACTGGGAGATCAAGTGCTGTGGCACTTGATTGCTGTGGCATCATGGTGAATTCAAAGATTGTGGAGGGAGATGGCTTCTTTTGACTGCTTTAAGAGATTCCCCCAAATCCCAACCCCCTTCCAAAAAAGAAAAAAGGTAAGCTATTGCCTTCTTGAACTCTCAACTCAAGGCATAGGTAGAGAATCAGAAAGTTTCTATGGTGGCCTTAAAGGAATTCTTATTTTATGAAGCTGTGGGAGGGACATGCCTGAGGCCTGAATGTACAGGCTGCAGAATCACATGCCAGGTAAAAGTATACTTATGCTAAGTCTCTTACGCTAAGGTAAAGGTTCTTGTGGGAAGGGGTGAGGACTTAAGAATTGAGATGGAAACCTTTGTGTAGACACAAAGCTAAGGACCTTAAACCTCTAATATCTCTAAACGTTTCTTCACATCAGAAACAGCCCTTCTTACTATCTAAGAAAACAATCATTCACTTGAATAAATAGATTTCACTGACTTCATCTGGTGTGGTTACCTAAAAAGGAAATTCCTATCTTCTTCAGGCAGGAACAATACTCACTGACTCTAGGGTCACAGAGAGAGCAAAATCCCAGCATGATTCAGAGTTAATTGCAAGGGCTGCTCCTGGGAGAGATTATGTACATGAAGGAGTTGTAGAATCTTGTCAAATTTTATTTGCAGAAATCTGGAGAGTAAGCATGGAAATGGAGTCTAAGTATAATACATTAGCCAGTGAGAATAAGTCTAAGGTTGGATCAGGCCAAGAAGGGTGTTTCACGAGGCCTCAGCATTTAATGTGTTAGTATGAGTACCTATATTGGTTAATAGAAGTCTTGCTTCAGTAGAGGCCTACAGTCAATGAGACAGAGATGCTAGAACTTCCACTGCACAGTCTAGAGGGAGGAGATCAAAGGCTTAGAGAAATGGGAATGTTGAAGTGGATCCAGTGTGGCCTAACCTGCTCAGCCACCACCTGGAAACCTCTGGGAGGGTCAGGAAGACAGTCCCTTCACTAAGACATTAATATATGTATTGGTGAGGGGAAATCAAACTGGAAGTAGCAAGCACACCTGATACTTAATATGACACATGACTACTAGAGGTGAGAGAGAAAGCCTGCAAAAGCTCAGGTGTCTGCTACATTGGTAAAGTTTCAAACAGAAAAGAAGAGTTACATCCAGAACTGCCCACTTGAAGAAACAGATACACACTTGTGCGTCCCTTTAGATTTTGGAGGCAAAACACATTTTGGGATCCCCAATCTTCCAAGGTCCTTTCTCCTACAACTAAAACACCCTGGTCATAATACAACAAACAAGCACTGGAAGACTCTGAAAGACATAATGAAGATAGACAGACTATGACCCTGGGACTTGAGAAGCAACACAGCAATGGTAAACTCCCAAGGCTTCCTTATTGCCTTCCATATACTTCAGATAGGATGCTGTAGGAGCTTCCAACCCAGAACCACCAACAGGCAGAGTCAAAAAACCAAAAGAAAACAAAACACAACAAAAAAAACAACCCCCCAAAAAAACTCCAAGAAAAGCCTGTTATCCCTATCCAAAGGATTAGGAGAGAGAAATCCATCAATTTCTATATAAAGTAAATAACTAGTTGCTTAGGGCTAGGTATGGGGAAAGAGAAAGGTGATGGATAAAGGGTACAAGGTTTCTCTTAGGGTGAGAAAAACATTCTAAAATTGTCTGTGGTATTAGGTGCATGTTATCTGTGACTACAGTAAAAACTGCTGATTTGTATACTTTAAATGGGTGAATTGTATGATATGTAAATTATCTCAATAAAGCTGTTAAAAAATAATAGCACTAAAAGGAGAAATAGACAAACTCACAATTAGAGGGGGAACTTCAACTTCTTTACTCTTAGCAGCTGATAGAACTACCAGACAGAAAATCAGCACAGGTGTAGAAGAACTGAACAACTCAATGAACCAAAGAATCTAACTGACATATACAAAACACTCCACCCAACAGCAACAAAGTACACTTTGTTTTTTTTCTAAAAGCCCATGGAATATTCACCAGGACAGACTATATTCTGTGCCAAAGAACAAGCCTCACAAATTTGAAAGAATTGAAATTATATACAGAGAACACATCTGGTTTCATCTCTGACATAAAGAGCCTAGAAGTCCTCACTCCTGTTCTTACAACAAGAACAAGCTGAACAAATTGAAAATCAACAACTTTTCTCCACTCACCAGAGAATTGAGGCCATAGGGCAAACTGCAACTTCAAAATCTGGTGAGACAGGTAACTCCAAAGTCACAGCTGAGACTTGCTTACCTGGACAGAAGATGCTAGAATTGCTGGAGGCTGAGTGTGGACAAGCCTGAGAGTGAGATACTCCTGAGGCTGAAATGTCAGGGTGACACACACATTCTTAGGTTTTACCTATAAACCCTACAGGATATCACGGTGAAAATCTGTAAAAGATCCCCTTGCTGCTCATTCAGGAAGAGAAAAAGAGTAGTCATTATGTAACATGTCCTGAGCATCCTCCATAACAAAGGACTGTTCTCCAGAGAAAGAGTTTACCAGAGCCTTATCC